GCCATCAGCTTTTCTGCACCGTTTGCAACTTTTTCTCGTCGTTGGTTCTTCTTTTTTCGTATTCTTTTCTCTTTTTTTTTGTTCTGTTCGGAGGAAACGAGCAAAACTTTAAACGATATAAAGTATCACCATTTAGCGTGCGAGGAAAAAAAAGTGCGAACCAAAAGTCTTTCGTTATTTCTTTTTGGCGCAATAGAGCTCTCGCGCAACAAATTTATTTGTAATTTATAGTACGAACATGTAGTATTAGGGGCTCAATCGCCGAACAGCGAAAAGTTAACACAGTCCAGGCTCCCGAAAAATAACGGCCGAAACAGAAACAAACGAATGAACGTAAAAAAATAAATTCAACATCGACGACGACGACGACGACGACGAACCAACCAAAATCATAGTGCACATCCATAAATATTACGTGCAGTGCTCACAATGAGCGTGATAAATTTCATCTCGATGCTCTGTTGTCTCTCTCTTTTCACGCGTAATGTGTGCGTGCCTGGAAACTCCATTCCAACAAAAAGTAAAAAAAAAAAAGCCAACATTTTCCAACGAGGAAAAGCAACAATGGCGTCAATATTGATAATGTTGGGCTTAATATAATTTAGAGCCAGAGGAAAAATTTAATAATTTTGTCATATTTTTACGGTCAGACCCATAATTTCGAGTGAATTAGTTTAGCTTATTACTGATTTTGTCGTTCATGTTGACTTTGGCTTTTTTGTCATTCGCTTTGCTTTTTCTTGTATTTTTGCTGTCGACATTTTCGTGACGCTGGATGAGAGGGGAAAAAATGCGATAATAAACGACACATTATAAATATGGAGAGACATTCGGATAGTGCTGGCGATGGAAATAAAATTACCATTTCTGATTTTATGTGGAAAATTGGCTGTATTACATTGGGGCTTAGCATCAAATTGCTAACAGCTCCAAGATATTTTCGTTTGACGTGATTTGTGTTTTTTTTTCGCCCTGTCCACAACTACGCATGCTCTTTGTTTGGCCTCAAAATTTAATGGGCATCAAGATTCATCGTAAAAACCACTTGATATAATGAAATACCCTGGACTTCATACCGAAATAAATATTCCATTTGAAATAATTAACGGCCTGAAATCTACTAATTAACATCGAGAACACATTGAACCAATCCAATCATAAATCATAACAAATTAGCTCATTAATTTAAATTGCTGACTTTTGTTTGTTGATTGGCTCGAAGAAAATTGATAACGAAAACGATTCCAAGAAACAGCGCGACCCAAGCGCACCGAGAAAAATACGACTTTTCGTAGATAAGTTTTGTACAAAGAGAGCAGAAAAATTGGGTTTTTTTTTCTCTCGCAAAATTGCTCTGGACGTTTGATCGGTGCCGACTGTCGCCAACAATTTACTTCGTCGTACATACATAAATGACTTTAATTGCGTGATTGAATCAAACATCACGCTGCAGAAAGAAAAATCAAAGAAAATTATTATGAATGGCGTACTTGAAATCGTCAGACAGGGCCCAAATTAAAACCAAATCAGCGATATTGAATCATGAGGCTTTGGGCACTATTGCGCAAATCGTGAACGAAAACACTCTGGCGGCAATGATTGATGCAAGAATAATGACGACAGTTAAAAAATGTTGAAGTCTTTTCGATCATGGACAATATTAATGACAGTAGAAAGGAAAAAGTTGAAATTTTTTCAGACAGTTTTATATATTAATATTTTTTTGATTCGTCGGTTAAAAAAACGCAATTCCAAAAACAAATTCTCGTTCTTTAAAACTTCTTTAAAATTCGTTGTCATTCCTCTTTTTAAATTTCACTAAATTTTTATTCATTTCATAAATTTTCAACAAAAAAACATTTTTTCTCGAGAATAAAACGCATAGTTCAGTCAAAATCCAGAATAAAAACAAAAGAAATCGTCTCATTGCTTAAATTTGGTCGAAAGATGATTCACGCAATCTTGCAAAAATGCGCATGTACGCAAACATGAATCACTTCGCTATCAGTGCAACAGGAAGTGGTTGAAGCAGCTGATATTCAAGAAAAATCTGATCGCATTAATCCCAATTAGTGCAAACATTAATATGGCAATAAAAACATAACGACTATAGACACACATTTGATCTATAATTCATGAGTTCATGAGGCAGAGCATTAACCATATATACATCTCTCGTCACTGAATAAGCAAAATGGATGCACTGGAAAAAGTCGTTGGTGGCATTTAGGTTATGAATGTGTTAGAAAGCTTGTCATCAACTAACTCTTCGTGTTTTCTAATTAAGAAGAACTATTCTATTTGCGCGAAAATTATAATTTTATCAAAGTAATGCCATGACGCAATACCGCACATAATGTGAAAATGTCGAAAGCAGCCAAAAGCTGTTAAAAGAGAAGAGAGAAAAAAATTAAAAATTTATGTATGAGCTATTCGATGTAATCACTAGAAGATTCTCATCATTATTTCAATAAAATGTGCGCAAGAGCGTATGAAGGCAAATGTCAAAAAGGAAAATAATTTTCGTTTACAGCAGCAGCATAGTTCTTGGTCGCATGGAAATAAGCATCATCATCATTGTGCGTGGAGTGAAGCGACAGCATGAATACTGAAATAATGAAGTCTCTGTGTGGATGGCAAGTGCTATGCAAGGGAACGAGGAGGCTATGTGCCGAATAACAGTGGCAGTTGAATGGTAGTAAACCACCAAATTGGAGATTTTAATCAAAATCCATCAGAAAAACGCATACAACCACTGGGTTGAAATAGTATTCAAGCGCTTAACATATTTGTTTGAGGGATTCACTGAGTTGGATTCAAAGATGGCAAACCATCTTTTTGCCTTATTTTTATCTTGATTGTATGCCGTCTTTGTTTTGCACCGAAAACGAAAAATCTTCAGCAATTTTCACACATCTTATTTGCTCTCCATCCCATTTTCCCCCACGCAAACGAGTGTGCTGTGGAGAAAAAAAACCCACTGTATATAGTGAGCGTTTACATAGTTTGCGCGCGACGTACACGGTTTGGGCCAGCTTGTATTTACCGTAAATATTACAAACAAATTTACTTCCAACTTAAAATCAATTCCAAGCAAATAATATCCGCTCTCTATGTGTGTTTCCATCATCAAATGTGTGGAGTGTGCACATTATGTGTACACATTTTGTGGCGATCAAAAAGCCGATGAGCTTCGCTTCACTAACACATCAAAGTGCCGAAAATATATTCAATACATTGTTTTGGTTTTTTTTTTCTTCTGATTGAAATGAAAGCAAAAATTGTTCGCTGTCGTTGTGTAGAGTGCACAATCTCACACACATACACACATACACCTACAGAAATTATTCACACACATATACTAATACCGAAGAGAATAAAATGCTCCATCAGTTGATCCCACTTCTTCAATTAGACGCAGAGAGAATTCTGGGATGAGAGTGGCATGACAATCAATTTCGTTGATGCTGATATTACTACGTTGCGTGTATGCGACATAGTTTCCACGTCTTTTTTTCCCATTTCGAATCGAAATCACCAAGAACTTGATAGTCCAAAGCGAAATGGCTACAAAAACACACAAGAACCCATACACGGTCGCATAAGTTTGGAGCAATTGTGGCTAGCTGTGTGTATACAGACAGCATACAAAGTGTTTGTGTGTAATTGTAATGTTGGGGTAACACCACGTTACAGCGATAATTTAATGAACATGTATATTTTATTCAGCCAATCGTTTGCCATTTGGGATGGTTATTAAATGAACCAATCAGCACGCAGACGGTAGCCATACCACACAGCTCATATATACCAAGACATATTTTCTGGAGAAGTGTATTTCCCGCTCTTCATCACGCTTAAGCAGCTCACCAGTCTCCGTTTGCTCGAGAATGTATAATGCATAAGCAAACACAAGAATCGAGCCGATACTCACACTCATTCACTCGCGCACGCACACATACATCAGGAGCTCATGCTGAGAAATAAGTTGAATTGAATTTAATTGAATTAGCTCCGCCTACAATTTCTCCAAATGCACACCAATACACATGCATGCACGAACTGCGTTCAGTCGGACAGAGAATAAGTGAAGCTGAATGTATGTGTGTTTCGTGTATTTTTGCTCAAACATCTACATGCAAACCGTACTCCTATAAGAAAACGAACGAAAATCAATTCTTATTCACTTAACCAATACGCACACCATCAAAGACCAAGTAAAAGTCAACAGAGCAGCAGCAAGTGGAAAAAAAAACACAGCAAGCAAATAGAAATTGAACAAGCGAACAGTGGAAAATAATAAACACCCAAAATATGAGCGAATCGCATGAGTGTGTATGTGTGTTCGAATGAAATAGGGAGAGACAAGCAGCTGGTAGTCATTCATACAAGAAATGGGAAAACGACAACTGTATCGAGCTCAAGAAGAGAACGAGAGAAAAAAAGAGCGATACACACAACACCATAAATTCCATTTTTCATATAAGTTATTCGCTCGTGCTGACTCTATCGAGCAGTCGCCGTGCGAGAGTGTGTATGCGTGAGCAAGTGTGTGTCTCTGTGTATGTGTATGTGTGCAGAAGCACCGTGCAAATGTATTGGTGTGTGCAGACAAACTTAAAATAATAAACAATCATGTTAACGAAAAAGAAAAAGAAGGAGAACATCGAGTGGCAGGCACAGAGAATCATTTTGTGCTTGTTATATTTCAATTCTGAAAAGCGAACGCAATATTACGATATATGCGGTTTGAATGTTGTTGTTGCTGCTGCTGATGGTGTTGTTGTTGTGCTGCTTTTGTTGTTTAAAGGAACCACTTTTTTCATGTTATTCTCTCTTTCTCTCCCGCTTCGTGTATGCTTTTGTTGCTTCTCCTTTGCCGTTGAACCACAACCGAAATGAACGGCAGCAGCAACAATAACAACAACGGCGCGAGCGACGGGTTGAAAATTTCAAGTTTTTCGTTGATACCGTGTGTGCATTACCACATTTTTCGATTCAGTTCTTGGTGAATATTCGATGCGTGTAGACACTGTGCTGTACCAGCTGTGTGGCGTTAGAACGTTTTACACGTAATTTCTACGATATCGGTAGTATTCGATCTGAGAGAAAAGGAACATTCATTTTATTTCTCAATTCGATATATTGAGCGCACGATCAATTTGCTCAACTGTATCAATAAAAGCTGAAATTTTGAGCTTAAACAGTGAGACATTCTATTTTAATTACAACGAAATTAATCTTGTGTAAATTTATGCATATTTTTCGCCATAGCAACTAGCGGTTCAATTGTTTAAGAACAGAAAGGAGAAAAACAGACACATATGACAAGTGCAAAAAAAAATGTATCAAACCTCATTCACGTGCTTGAACTTCACATATCAGTTAGTTAAAAAAAGTTGCGAGGATCGGCACAATTGAGAGCCGCTTCACAGTTCAAAAAAGTTAGAAAATGTGGACAGTGTTTTTACCGACGGCATAAACCAAAACCAGCATGCTCATACGTAAAGCTACAATCAACTCAAGGACCTTTAAATATTTGAACTAGATAAAATAAAACATACTTATTCGCAAATCTTGAAACAAAAATGAATTTACGGTTCAAGTAATCAAGTTTAAAAAGTAACAAAAAACACTTGTATCACATTTGGAGGTGTGTGAAACTTCCAAATCAAAACTTTTTTAAGCAACCAAGTTTGTAAGACGAATTCAGGAACATTGTTCAATTTGAACGAAATCAAAAAGATGGTGCTTGAGCATCAAGGTTTACCGAATTTCCAGAATGCTGGTCTGCAGCCAGCGTTGCAATTGTATGCAGCGGCCGCTGCTCATTTGGCACCGCGAAATCGTGGAGCCGTTGCACCATGGGCACCATTTCTGCAGTTTGGAATGCCTGGCGTTTTCGGTAGTCCATTTTTATCACGACCGCGATTTGCACCATCAGTCACAGGATCACCGCCAAATCAGCCGTCGCTAGTCGGTTTGAGCGGTCTGAATGCGATCGGCAATGCAAACGGCTTAAGTTTAGGACAACACAATCTCAGCGGAGCTAATCGCACAGCACAAGGTCCACCCAGTGAATGCTCAAATGACGAAGGTGGTAAGTCATTTTAGTATCGTTTAAAATTCAAAAACCAACCGATTCCCGTCCAGCCAAAGTTAAAGGACAGCCAAACTAACAAAAGAATCAAAAACTATTGCAAACCACAGTCGAATAATAAAAGATATCAATTTTTCTATTTCCATGGTAAAAAACAAATGAAAAAAACGATTCAATTCTGAATTCGATTATTTATCGTTATCGTCGTTGTCGTAAAAAGCGTCGTTTACCTCGATTAGACTCGCTAAATGATTTATTATATTGTTGGCGATCCAGTAAGTGGCCTTTTTAAAATGCCATAATTCAACATTTCCATACCATCTCTCAGTCAGTGTGTTTAGTTCCTTTTTTTTCCACATTTATCGGTGGATAATTGCTTTATTAATCTCTTGATTGACTTCATAACGAGAAAGCTTTTCGTTTTACCAATGAAAAAAAAAAAAAACAGAAAAAATACATACAAACACACAGCTCATAAAACCCAATCAGTCACAATGGCTTTGACATTTTAACATTGTTTGTGCCTTAAAACACATTTCGATTAAATCAATTATTAAACTATTTCGTTCAACATGGTAAATAAATGGCGGGGCAAAATGAAAAGCGAGAGAGAGAGAGAGAATGAACACACAAAACAACCTCTCTACTATATTCGAAAAATTCTCCCAAAGTATTATTATTTTTTCAACAATGACAAATTGACGGTAAACTCGTTGTTCGATGAATGCAGAAAATGGTTTTGTATTTTTTTTTGTTCTCTATCTCTCTTCCTGTTTCACAAGTGAACCGCATAGCGTGATTCATTGAAATTTTGCATGTTTTGCTTACATAGTTATTTAATTTAGCTTCTTTCACTAATCCGATGTTCATAAATACACAAATTCATTCTTCAATTACCCAATGGCATATGTGTAATGTTGTCGCTGTGCCACTCGCTTCATGTGTGTATGTGTCTGTGTGTGTGTTTGTCAACATTTTTTCTTCCAACGATAAAGAATATTCGACTCCTTCAAATATGCCAATTATTATGCCAAGTAGGCATTGCCTACACGGAATTGAAACAACTTTATTTTTTGGTATTGTCATTCATTTTTGTCAATCACCAAAAGCAGTCAATAGAATCTAGGTTCTTTCGGCACATATTCGATATTGAAAAAAAAAAACGGTTCTCTCTCTCTCTAATCGATGATGTGTTCTGTTTTCATTTAAGTGCACGAAAATTATTATCACGAATTTATTACGTGAAGAGAAAAAAAAACGCGAATTTGACAGTTGAAAAGTAAGCAACAAGAGCACCGAAGAAAGAATGTGTGCGCTATTTCAGTTTCGTGTATGCAAAACGAATTGTTAATGGGTTGTGTTATTTACCGTTTTCAATTTCAATCGATTAATTCGCATATGAAATAAATTCGTATTGACAGCATTATCCGCACACAAGAACCTTTCATTGAATCATTGATATTTTTCGTCAATCAAATGCCATATTTATTGCACGCCTCGAGAAAATTGCCAATTTCACCCATTTTCATTGTCAATAAATATGATTGTATATAAAGGGTGCTTTTCGTTCCTACCCGATTATCGATTCATGCAATATGAATACGGTTTTTCATTCCTTTTTTTTTATTCAAACAATTTTTCACAAGTGAACCGTTTAAAGTTTATTCATACGATGGCTTATAATTGGCGACTATTCCAAAATAGGAAACAGATACATTTAAATAACAACAGATAAAAAATGTGTCTTTTAAACGGCAAAAATCGTTATCTTTTCACTGCGATTCTTCGTCATAATTATGATTATAAGCCAAATTGCAAGGTATCGCTAATCAATTTGTCAAGCGCATTGACATTTTCAATGGGGTAATTACATATCGATCGATTTATCTTCGCGGATATATTCTTATATCGATGGCTATTTTTCACAAATTAAGTAGCGCGCGAGAGAAAGAATGAAGAGAGAAAAAAAAATGCGTTGACAAATGTCTCCATGATGAGCGCAGATCTATTCCGCCTCGTAGCGAAAATAATGTGTACAGACTCAATAACAAAGCGAAAAATAATTCACACCTTCATCGTATAGCAAAGTCATTATCATTGACCAACATCATAATTATATCAATGGCGCATCGCGTTGCACACAAATCGTGCAAAACCAGAATCATTCTTAATAAATAAATACGATTATTATACGATAAATACAATATTTTTTTTTTTCGCCGAATAATTCGATAAATATACTTATTGGTTGCGCGCATCGAATGGTAAATTGAGCACGGCCAGCACAAGCACTGAACACATGGAACGTAATGCAATTCATCGATTTATGCTTGGGCAGCACAACAAAACGAACGAACCGAATGAAGTACGATTGCCTTTTGTTAATTTCTGTAATGTTTTTATTCCATTGGCGTGGCAGAGAAATCAAGAGTGTTGTGGTGCGATTACGAGGAAAGCAGAGAATAGTGTTTATTACTTCACTTTAGGTGACTTGCATACGGCTCAGGTTCACACTTTTTTTTTCAATTTAAAGAAGTAAAAAAAAAAGAAAATCAGTTGTGGCAAAGTCGTAGCGGTGCCGAAGTGAGTGAGTGAGTACATACACACAGAAATCGAACGAACGAACGAATGGTTTGAGCGTTCGGGTATTGGTGTGCGTGACTGGTGCGAAACGTGAAATTAAACGATGAACAGCAATAACAATGGCAGGCAGAAAATGCACAAAAGGAAGACGATCGTTAAAAAGCCAACAACAATATTCACGGCATTTACTAAATGCCGCAGAAAAAGTGTACAATTTTATCGTTTATGCCGTGGCAGAAAAGAAAGAGAGACCATCGTCAGTCGTCGCAAACTACACACACACACACACACAATTCGCACTGAAAAATGAACGCTGATACTAAGGATACCATGAGCAATTCCTTTCCCAAAACCGACAGCGCGCACACCGAATGTTGCTCATTTCAGCGTCTTCGTGCAATTGCAAAATGCCTGATATCCATTTTGGGTGATTTTTCTTCATTTTTTTTCTCTACTGTTCATTCCCTTCTCTTTGTCGCGCTCGCTGTCACTAATTTCATTTATCGCACTTGCACACGAAAACGCCAGCTCGTGAATTTACATTGGCTCAATGCAGAAAAGTGCATGGCTATTGAATTACTCAAAAGCTGGTAATTATTGAATGGAATGAATGAATGAATGGGCATAGAGCAGGGAGAGAAAGAGCAACAGAGAGACGGGAAAGAGACGCGCATATAATTCGAGCTCTTGCCGCTGGCACTAAAGTGACACTGAAGTATGAGCTGCTATCAAGAATGTGTTTGTGGTTGCACTATAGGCAATTATCATTATAATAAATTCAGTTCAATTTCTTTCCATGTTCCAGCCATTTGACTTATTTGTACTTCGGCTCTTTTTTTTTCACCTTCTCGCTTGCCGTTCACAAACACACAAACTTGCGAACAAAATAGCAGCAAAAATTCTGAATCGCTGGAAAAGAAATCTTTAATTGTAAGTAGTTCTCAAAGTGAATAAAAATGCTCGAATAAAAGTTAAGCAACGCACTCACACGGGGTACGAACGACAGAAAAAAAAAACAATAAAACACTTTTAGAGTCAAACATGGTTGAACTTAAAGCGCTCAAATTGCCATGCACGAACACCACCATCATATTCAATCTGCAAACCAGCCAACGAACAGAAAAAAAAACCACAGAGGAAGACAGAGAGAGAGAGAGAGTGAAAAAATCGTGTATTACACATTTTAATAAGCACATGAAAATGAATAATAATCGTAAATGATAATAATCAGGTAGAGAGCGAACGCGTTTCGTTCAAACAACATAATTTGTGGGGCTAGAAGAACATTTGTATAGTTTATCCATGCGCATGCTTTTAGCCAAACTATCCGAGTGCGAATCCAACGAAAAACAAAATCGAGACAGCAAATATAACGCTACGGCGTACAGCGAAAAAAAAAATCGTAAATAAATAAATAAAACGTGTTGTGATATCGTCGTCATCATCATCATCATCACCAAGCAGGCCAACAGCAGCCAATCATATTTTAAGCAATGTTCTCCCTGGCTCATTCGCCCATATTCTTGCTATTTAAAATTGCTAACGAGCCATCTTCCGACTCCAACGAAATACTTAGCTCTGATCACCAGATTACCACTCTTAAATTACTCGATCACTGAGAGATACCATTTTAGTTTCTTGCTGGCTAAATTAAAACCGCACTTCGTTTTCTTCTTCTTCTTTTTATTATTGGCAACTTTATTAATTTTCCTACCCGTTGTTAACAAGTTTCAAGGTTAAGATCAAGCTGAAGCGAGAAAAAAAAACACAACAACCGATTTATCTAATGAAATCCGTCATAAAAACACTGATGCCAAGACACTTTGATACCCCCTCACAGCATCTCTTAATTTTGACTTATTTAATTATTACTTGCGACGCGAAGCTCTTGCGGAGATGGATTATAATAATTTTCGCTTGGAAAATAACATCGTTTCCTCACGCAACAAGGAAAAATGGATGCTCATTTGCCACAAGGGAATAGACAATTTTTCGAATAAATGATAGTTTCCTTCTTTCATTTTCTTTATGGCCGAGCAGATGCACTTGCGAGGTGGTGCTTGCCGTGCAAGAGTGGTGTAAACATTCTTGGGCCAAAGATTGTTTGCCACACGCTGCAAAGCAATTTCTATTCTTTTAATTTGAAGCCCAAATTATTGGTTCCGTTGAATTCATTTCGTTTTTGTTTCTTTCATTTTCTTTACTTCGACAACATCACTACTGTTTCACCTGATTCCGTCCGCATTTTAATTTGTTTTCTAAAACAATAGATCATTAACGATCACAACAAAACGGGACAATGGCATTTGTTTTTTTATTTCTTCACTCATTCACAACGGCAAACACCTTCAATCAAATTCATTTTCGGGCACACTGGCCCGCAGCCAATGTAATTGAATAAATAATTGATTTTTTTT